TAATTAGGCTAAATTTCGGCTGTGAAATCACTGAATCTATTGGCTTAAGAGCACTTCATTCCAGGAACTATAACGATAAAAGCGTCCAGTCAGACTGACCAGCTATAAGCAAATTCTCACCTTGTGTTAATAAATGTGATGGCTAAGATGTGATAGGTTCTTATTGGTTGTTAGCTCTTCTTTTTATTGTTCTCAAAATTGCTTTAAAAGCGATCCCCAACAATATTGTTTCAATCTCGTTATAGTTTAACATATTAACGAGAACAATATTTTTTTTATATAGTTATCATTTTTGGTGTGAATGGCCCTTTATATGTGTATTCTTCAGTTCCCTTTCGAGGGAACTCTACACTGCGTCGAGAATCGACACTTTGGGGACGCTCCCTAAGCGTGCGCCTCTGAAGTATGAATGAAACTAATCCAATCCTGATTGGTGTTGCGTCGTGACGTAACATGTGACGGCATACCCGGAAGTATAAAAGTGACGTTGTCACAACACACACTAGCTTTCGCTCTTCAGCAAGCGCTTTATGTTGAAACTGTCTGTCTTATTTGGTGTTGTTTGTCACTCAGTTTGAACTGGAAATGGCCAGCGAGCAATTTAAAAACATGTGTGCATCTCTGCCCTCGTTATGTCACAGGTGGGGACGCACATGCTTTGTGTGTAAATTGTTTGGGAGCGCAGCATGACTTGTGCAGACTGTAAAGCACTTCCTATTAGAGTGCTGCGCTCCCGGCTGGCGTGCTTTGATGAGCACGGTCAGGCTTGCGTTCCCTGCGTTTCTGGTCCCGCGTCCGTTGAGGCGGCACGGCGATTGAGATCGTGGGGTTCACAGCGGGATCTTGCAGACGAGAATGAGACTGCTGAGGCACTTTCTCATTCATCGTCTGATGATCCCGTAGCCCCTGTGAGTGGCGCAGAAGTCCGCGCCGCGGCTTCTTCTGACCACGATCAGGTCCCGATACTCAGGCTCTCTGCTTCCAAGGAAGTAGACGTGCTCAGTATCGATACGGATGACCGTGAGTTAGGCGCGCCAGTTCACGGCCAAGCATATGAGGAACTGGTGAGGTTGTGACTCGTGCCGTGGCCAGACTGAACTTCAGCTGGCCACAAAATGAGGAGGGAACGCAAGTTTAAATAAATTGCGTTTCTTGCGGCACGGGTCACAGCCTCAGCGCCGGAGTTTGCCGTTTTTCCCCGATCTCCACTAAAAGATCATGAGATCGGGGGATGAACCGCATTCGTCCCGTGTTTCCAAACCCAGTGTCCTAAATTCTTGCGTTTGCCGAGGCAGCGTGTAGATTACGAGTCTACTCTGCAATAAAGATTCTGTGACTGCAGCGCATAGATTTAAGGTCTGCATTGCAATACGGAAACTTTGACTCGGATCTCTCGTTTGTCGAGGCAAATTTTCTCTCGTGAAAATTACGAGTCTCCTTTCCAATAAGGGAAACTGGCCTGTTCTCCGGCGCTGTAACTTCAATCGTCGACAGGTTTAGGAATAAATAAATAATATATATATATATATATATATATATATATATAGTAAATAAATAAATATATATAAGATATATATATAAAATATATATGTTGTCCCGCAGTTTTGAACGTTTCGGGCTACATCGATTTCCAGCGAACGCACACTGTGTCGTTCACCCCGACTGTGGTCACAAAATTTTTCTCGACTTTTTCCTGCCGGTCATCCGCTTCAGGGACTCGAAAGACACCCGAGGTCGGTCTCAAGGGGCTGGTTCCCTTAGTAGATTTTGCAGAATGGCTACACCTTCCAATATATCTATATGGGGCCTGAATATTTTTAAACAGGAAACGATGTATGTTGCCCGCCGTCAGCGACGCTTCGGGCCACATCGGTTTCCAGCGAAAATATTATAACGAAGCATCGTTTATGGTCAAAACATCCATATCGACTACAGCCTGCCGGTATTCCGCTTCAGGAAGTCGAGAAAGATGCTCTCGAAAGACAAAACAAAAAAAAAAAAAAAAAAAAAAACCAGAGGCCACTCTCCAGAGGCTGGTACCCCTAGTATATTTTGTAGAGGCATGGTATCATCTTCCCAACATATCTGCATGGGTCCTACATATAATAGAATCAGGGTACAGACTGCAGTTTGCACACCGCCCCCCAAGTTCTCTGGGGTGGTACAGACTACAGTGGTCCCAGAGCAGGCTCAGGTGATGGAACAAGAAGTTCAAACTCTGCTGCTAAAGGAAGCCATAGAACGTGTTCTTCCTTCAGACAGGGGGTCCGCGTTTTACACCCGGTACTTTATAGTTCCAAAGAAGGATTGGGGGTTAAGGCCAATTCTAGATCTCGGGGTTTTGTACCGATCTCTGAATAGGGAGGTGCAGGTTCGAACGGTTAACTCCAGTAATCGTGAGTCAGATCAGAGGACTGATTTGTCACGATAGATCTAAAAGACGCCTATTTTCACTCCATCCTTCCATGTCACAGGAGATACCTGAGGTTCGCTTTCGAAGCTTACCAATATCGGGTTCTTCCGTTCGGCCTAGCACGCTCTCCCTGCACATTCACCAAATTTATGGATGTAGCCCTTGCTCCACTGAGACTTCAAGACATCCATATATTGATTTATCTCGACGACTGGCTCATTCTGGCTCAGTCTCGGGAAATGGCAGTTCGGCATCGAAATGTCGTCCTTGGCCACATTCTGAAATTGGGGTTGAGACTCAATGCAAAGAGGAGTGTGCTAGAACCATCCCAGTGTACGACATTTTTGGGAGTCATATGGAACTCGATTACGATGTAGGCACGCATGTCTCCCGCACGTATCGAGTCAATTTTGACGATGGTATCCAGGGTAAAGCTAGGCCAGGCCATCACTGTGAAGCAATTTCAAAGAATGCTGGGCCTCATGGCAGTGACATCCAACATCATTCCTTTGGGGCCTGCTACACATGAGGCCCCTTCAGTGGTGGTTAAAGACCAAGGGGTTTTCTCCCGAGGGAATCCGCTTCGTATGATCAGAGTAACGCGCAGATGCCTTTGTTCTCTGAGAATATGGAAGAAACCTTGGGCCAGTGTTGGGAGTGTCATGTCGCCGGGAAACCGTTTCGACAGACGCCTCCCTCACTGGCTGGGGCGCGGTCATGGACGACCGTTTGCCAGGGGTCTATGGCAGGACCATCATCTTTCTTGGCATATAAACTGCCTAGAGATGATGGTTGTGTTCAGGGCTTTGAGGAGCTTCCTCCCAGACATCAAAGGTCACCACGTCCTAGTACGGTCAGTGGTAGCCTATCTGAACCGACAAGGGGGAATCAGATCGCGCCCTCTGTGCAGACTGACGCATCAGATTATCCTTTGGTCCCAAGGGAAAATACTCTCTATCAGAGCAATGTATATTCCGGGGGTTCAGAATCAGGGGGCAGACATCCTGTTGAGAAAACCATACTTAGCTCTTGGGCTCCATCCACCAGGAGATTATATGACCTCAAGTGGAATGTGTTTGTCACTTGGTGTAGAGAACTTGGGTTAAATCCAGTAAACTGCCCGGTGGCTTCAGTTCTGGGATTTCTCCAAGATCGTTTCTCTAAGGGTCTCTCCCCGTCCACGCTTAGGGTGTACGTGGCTGCCATTGCGGTTTTCCACGCACCGTTAAGTGATGGGCCTCTGGGGAGGCACCAATTGGTCATTCGGTTTATCCTTGGTACTTGGAGGATGAGGCCGGCAGCCAGGTCCAGGGTTCCTGCCTAGGACCTGGCAATAGTTCTGGAGGGGTTATCCAAAAGTAGAGTGCCCCCTTCGAACCTTTAGAGTCGGCTTCGCCTAAGGACTTAACACTGAAAATGGCTTTTCGCTTAGCAATTACCTCACTTAAGAGGGTGGGAGATTTCCAAGCCCTGGCAGTAATGCCAGCTTGCTTGGAGTTTGCCCCTGGCAGAGTGAAGGCCTTTTTACACCCGAGTCCGGGCTACGTGCCTAAAGTTCCATCGAATACGGCTCATTCTATAGTCCCTCAGGCATTCCATCCTCCACCTCATGTGTCGGCGGAAGTGGAGAGGCTTCACTTGCTCTGCCCAGTCAGAGCTTGAGCTTGTACCTTGAGGGGTCCTCTTCTTGGAGAAGGTTGGAACAATTGGACTAGTATGTTCTGGGTCACCTAAGAGGGGGCTCCCGGCAACCAAACAAACTATTAGCAACTGGATCGTCCAGGCTATTACTGAGGCTTACAAGGTGCGCGGTTTGCCTTCACCTTTTACCTTGTGGGCACAGTCAACTAGAGGCATGGCTTCCTCTAGGGCCCTTCTTTCGGGAGTACCTCTTTAGGAGATCTGCGAGGCAGCCGGCTGGGCTACCCCACATACTTTCATAAAATTTTACAGTCTCCACCTTCCCAGTACACCCGGTGCACAGGTGCTCAGTCCTTGCTGAGTGCCTAGACAGTTTTACTCCAGGACAGGCCTATTCGGTGCGTGGCCTAGTGGGCACTCGTTCCCCAAAGTGTCGATTCTCGACGCAGTGTAGAGTTCCCTCGAAAGGGAACGTCTCGGGTTATGACTATAACCCTTGTTCCCTGAGAAGGGAACGAGACACTGCGTCGTTCTGCCACGCCCCCTTTAGGCCTTAGAGCGTCTTGCTTCATCGCGAGGCTAGTGTGTGTTGTGACAACGTCACTTTTATACTTCCGGGTATGCCGTCACATGTTACGTCACGACGCAACACCAATCAGGATTGGATTAGTTTCATTCATACTTCAGAGGCGCACGCTTAGGGAGCGTCCCCAAAGTGTCGATTCTCGACGCAGTGTCTCGTTCCCTTCTCAGGGAACAAGGGTTATAGTCATAACCCGAGACGTTATTTAGCTGTATTTTCTGACATTTTTTAAAGTTCAAGGACAATGCTTAAAGTGTTCCCCAGGTTTTATGAAAGTTTAACTTTAAGTTTAATTTCAAGGTTTTTTTTTTTACATTTATGGTTAATTAATATTATTATTATTATTATTATTGTCATTTTAAGGTTGCCGGAAATGTAGTAGGCAAAAAGTTTTCAAATATGACTCCATAACAGGACGAAGGATAAATGAGGTAAGAAATATATTTTTCATTAGGCTGTCTGATCATCTCTCCATTGTCTGTGGCTCATCTGGCATTTCAAATATCACAAAATACTGACCATTAAAGCATTGGTAATTTGAGTCCATTTAAGTTCAACTGAAGGCCAAGTGGCTTTGCCCCAAAAATTATGAAATTCAAAAACTGATTATATATTTTTTTGTCTTTCTGTAGGGGCAAGAGGAAGTAAGGGTGAAATGGTTACCTTGCTCTGCATGGTAAGTACTGCTTTATATTGGTTTATATTGCCTTCATACATGTACTCTGTTTCAACTTTTTACCATCTCATAGGTAGTGGATAAAGGTTGAAATTTATATTGTAGCACAAAGTTTTGCAACCAAAAAGAAGCGTTGAGAGAATTGTCATGTCCACTAGGTTTAAGGTCCAGTGTCAATGCAGCCTTCTACCTGGAGATTTTAGAGCATGGTTACATCTGCTGACGAGCTTTACGTACATGCTGATATCCTTTTCCAGCAGGACTCTCTAGGTTTAAAACCGTCAATGCAAGTGAATGAGAGAAAATAATTATTTTCTGATCCCATTTGAATTGTGCCATGAATGTGAACATATGTTGTCTGTGAATTTTTTATATAATTTCTCATGTAACGAGTTTGACACTATATTGTATGATTCTTTAGCTAGCAGTTGTGGAATAGACATTACCAGAAAGACTACACATCTGTAAAGACTCTGGGTCGGTTCTGATCAGGGGGGGAAATTTGCATATCATAATTAATAATTGATAATTAATAATTATTCATACAGATTTGGATCAGACCGGTCTTACATATTAATTTATTAATTTTACCCATATGCATACATGTGCATCCCCGCAATCCACCACAAATTAATTGTTATTGATTGCAAGGACAACGTTTTACAAGACAGGCAAAATCAATTAGCTCAATTAAGTTATATAGCTTGTGAAAACAAATTCTGTGGCCACTAGAATCTGCCTTCCCTGCTCTATAACCAAATACCCTCTTAGGTATTTATAGTTCTGTAAAGCGTGTAGCTTTAAATTGACATTTCATTGACCCGTATTATGAGCAAGACAATCAGTCAAGGTAAGCATATTTTGTATTTAATAAAGTTACTACTTAAGCATTTACTACGTTACAATGATACATGTATTTACAAACATTAAAACACAAACTAAGACGACGCAGAGCGTTTAGACAATGGATACGCGTAAGTTGAGTGAGTTGGAGAGAGAGAGAGGGAGAGTGAGATAGAGTGAGTTGTAGAGCAAGTGAGAGAGAGTGGGTTGTTTGCCACACAGTCAGTTAACCTTTCTGAACACCACGAAAACACTTTAATGCTTCTTAGAAGCTCTAAAAGAAGGTATACTTGCAGGGCACATTTGGTCTGTGTGAGTCGCGGGCTCGTTGCTCGGCCCGTTCTGGCCACATGTCGGCTGGAGGTGCGCCGTGAAGCGCGGCCGCGGCGTGTTTGCGCGGCCCGTCCCGGCTCGTTCATGGCTGCTTTGTTCCGTGGGGAGTCACGTGGCGTTCGTCGGCATTTAGCGCCAGTGTTTGAAAGGCTGAGAGTCTTTGAGGTGACGTTACCCGAGGAGATAGTTCGGCAAAGTCCACTTCCTTTCCTGGAAGACGAACTTGGTAGTCCACTTGAGGAAAAGATGAAAATTTTAGACGAACAAAAGGAAAGATCCATGGTTGGATCAGAGTCCCGTGAGGTTTACATGTTGAGCGCTGGAAAGTTCAGAAGAGAGCGAGGGCGGACCTGCATTCTCACATTTATCACCTTGGAGAAATCCATCCCCTTCCTGTTGGCTTGAGCCAATCGGAGAGTGGATGTTACACGCGAGAAGCCTTCTTTTATGGTCCTTTGTTCCTCAGCGCGCGCTTCGTTAGAGTTGTAGTCCACAAAGTGCTCTCACACAAAGTCTAACCGTATGAAAATTCTACCCGCTAAATTGTAGCATTCTTTACACGAAACATTATATAAAAAATTCACAGACAACATATGTTCACATTATTGCAAAATTCAAACGGGATCAGAAAATAATTATTTTCTCTCATTCACTTGCATTGACGATTTTTCAACCTAGAGGTCCAGAGGGGCTAGCTGAAGGGGCAGGACTTAGCAGCTCTATAGAGATGACAATGATAGAAACCAAACCCAACATTACAGACAACTTCAAGGTCACTATCAAAGCAACACACCTCAGCAATGCCATACACTGATGGCCTCCACACCACACAACACTGATGCAGTAATTTGTGTAAAAGCAGCCACACCAAGTATATAGTGTATGCATTAACAATTTTTAATATAAGTCAGATTTGTTCATTTATTTTCGAAAGGTCGACATTTCTGTATTCCTCTTTATTATAATGTAGTAAGTTAATTGATTTTTTTTTTTTTGGTTTTCATGAGCTGTAATCAAGATTAAATCAACAAAAATTGCTTCAAATGTTGCACAATATTGTAATTGTAGACCCATAGGGTGGATTAAATGCAGCGTCAAATATTGTCTCTTTTCAGTACTATGTATAATTCCCCTGGTGTAATGTCTATGTAGGAAGTAGACCTTCACCAATATATTGGCAGAACATCAGTATTGGCCAAGATCATCCTTGTTGACTGATGTCAGCTATTGACTTTCTATGACTTTATCTATGAGAGTGGCTGATGTTTATCTGTTACATTTCATCAAGCACTATATTTGTATAGGTTTTATAAAAACAATGAAATATAAGACCGGACAATATTTTTAGAAAATTTTTATGATATGAAACTATTGTTAAAATGGCTCCTGTTTTTCACTGTTCTAATGTTTTTTTTTTTACTGATACTTTCAGTGGAAAAATCTGGGAGGAGACATGGGAGCCGGCCTGCCAGTTCTCACCAGGTGCCAACCATGTGTAATGTCACACATTGGTCTGTAATTCAATGAGTTGAACCTGCTATGAGATGTAAAGTTTGCCGTTTTGGGCCCAGCCATCCTGCTTGCGGATGTGACTTACACACGTTCAATGGTTTCCACCCTAACATGCTGTCATGCTGTTTTTTTTTTGTTTGTTTGTTTGTTGTTGTTTTTTTTAATTATTATTGATTTTTGTTAAAAGCTGTGTTCAAATAAATCGATACCTTTATCTCTGTTTGTCTTTCTATTCACCTTGTGGTTTAGCCAATCATCTGAAGTCTTCAATGCATCAAATGATATATTGTAATGTGATGCACAAAGTATGTAGGAAGGTGGGACATGTTTTCATTCATATTAATTGACACCATTAAGGAACCGCTGATTCCACCAGCTAAACCATACATTTTCTGGATAACGGGTAGCTGAGGTAGGCAGGGGTGGATAAATGAACAGGCCCACCAGGACCAGAGGTCAAGAGGATCCAGAAGCCTCAAAAAATTTGAAAGCATGCTTTCTAATTCAGGAAGTTTTCTAAAGGCAAGGCACATGAAACCCTGGCTGCTGCACTGGCCTTCCATTGACCATGATGCTCTGTGTATTCAAGTTTACAACGGATAGGTAAAAGCAGAAGACTATATATATATATACACATTACATTACTTTTGTTATTTCAGTCTATATTTTTAAAACTGTCAATATTCATTTAGAAGTTATCATTGTATTTATTTATGTTAATATTTCGCTCTTATTAAAATTGAAATATTACAGTATGCTGTAATACAAAACATGATCCGAGCTAGACGCAAAGATTACACAATGCAATGCGGGCATTCATTCACAGAATCGGACAGCGATCAGCACACGACAGTATCACTTTAATGTATAATATACAATCGGTTGTCACCAGCAACAACATGTTGGTCAGCTTTGTTCCAGCCGTAATACCAGAGAAAGGACTTTGTTAATACCGATTACCGACCGAAGACTCTGGAAGTGACGTGGTAGATGACGGTAAAAAAAATACATTTGTGCAAAATTGACTTAATTTGTTTAATATATGCTTTTTTTTAAATGTGCTTTTGCACTATTGTAAAACATTTCTTGAATAAAAAAGATTAAAAAAAAATACACAGTATTCGTAATAGTGATGTTTTTGTCTATCATTGTATTTGAGGATTTAAACAATAAAGATAACAATACTGATAAAATAAACAGTTTAATGTATTTGTCTTATGTATTGTATGCTCGTCGGCCGGCGGCAATCTGAAATGGAATGAAGGCCATTCACGTCCCATTCATAGTGACACAAACATGTCCCCCCACCCCCACCCTGGAATAAACTACACATAAGCACATGCTTTTTAACAGCTTCTGTGGCGCGTCTCCTATGGGAGTTGTAGTTTTAAAGTATATTGGTATATTTCTCACAATTAGAAGTTAAAATTGTAATTTTATATACACCCTGTGTTTTTTTGGGATGGGGAACACACTGGTGTTATAAGATTTAAAAAAAAAAAATCGTTAAAGGGACTCTGTGTAGGAATTACCCCCATCTAGTGGTTAAATAGTATTTTGCATTCAAACGAATTTTGCTCTCCAGCGCCTCGCTTTTTCAAGTGCGTATTGCATCTACGGTTGCCGTTATGTACCAAAAATGCTATGACAGGATGTCTTGTAGTAACACTTCATCGAGTTTTTCTCCAGGTGAACAGGTTTGTAACTTAAAAAAAAACAACAACTTATGTGTACAATTTATGTGTCTAGCTGTATAAATTAATTTTAATTCTCTGTACAATCTTATCCACATAGCAAAATCACAATTTTAGCTAATTGATCATTTATATAAAAAAAGAAAGCTATAGAAAATCTTACAGAGAGCAATATTTTCTTAAAATCATTATCTCTATATTCTTACTGAATTTATAGGTTATAAAGAATTAACTTACAAACCTTGTTTTAGCACCTTACTTCACAATAGCTGCGAGTAAAGTAGTCAATAGCTGCTATTCATCAAAGACCTTGTTTAACTTTTTTACCTATAAATGTTATACTGTCTATATAATAAAGTACACAGCCAAGCAATGACAAAAAAATTAAGTAAGACTGTAACATTGACTAACCTGTCGAGGAGAAAGCAGGCAACTTCAGCGTCTCTTCTGAAATCTTTCTGCTGCATTAGCTCTTTCCACGGTTGAAAACGCTATCCCGATATTTAAGGCCATTGCACACTGAGTACGAAATTTTCGTATGCGTATTTTCCTGTACGTCAGCCTAAAAATTCGTCACGCATAGAAACCTTGCACACCGAGTCCGTTGCGTATTTATTAAACCTTTGCGGGAAAAAACGCAAAAATACCAAATGGATTCGTCAAGCAGTGAGGATGATTTTTGCCCTCTCTCATATTGAAAAGAGAAGAAAGAGAAAATATTACGTCCATCCAATCCTGAAATTGCGCCGAGAGGACGGAGAGTTCCTTATCAAAGAGTTGCGAATTTATCCTGAGCGATTCAAAATTTACCTCAGAATGTCAGTGGGACAATTTGATGCTTTGCTAGCGATTCTGGAGCCACATATTAAAAACAAGACCACCAATTTCCGTGAACCAATCGATTCTGAACGGAGACTGGCAGTGTGTCTGGTATGGACCAGGTATGGACACACACACACACACACACACACACACACACACACACACACACACCCGCGCGCGGCCCGGTGGAAGCGCTGGGCAGACAGAACAGCTAGGCTGTTATTGTGTATTGTGTATATATTGTGCCCAAATAATACATTAGTTATCGAATAGGCTGCTCAATCACACTTTATTCGATCCCAAATTTCAATCTGATTGAAAGGGGAGGTTTAATCATTTCATAATCCAATATAGCTAGAGAAGAGAACATAAACACTTGATCGAATTGAAAACCGAAACTGAAAGCACGGCGCATATGTTCAATGATTTGAGGACGAGCTCCCCCGGCCCTGAATTGTCAAAAGACCTCTCAAAATGCTGGCTCTGGATGCGAAAAACGCAGAAAATCGAACCCGATCCGATTAATTTTATGACGGAAAAATGAATGGCCTAGTTTTTTGCAAACTTCGGTCACGTTTCCTTTTTCGTTCAAGTCTGGCCTTTTTTTGCGAGGAGGATGCATTCTCCTGTGACTCTGCATATGGTCCGCCATTACAAATAATAGAGCAAAAGAGCAATCAGCAATCATAGGAGTGCAATGCAGACGTTTAAACTTGCAGGGAATGCGCCTCTCAATGTGACGTGACGATGGCTCTGAGTCTGAACGAAAACGCGTTGTGGAAACGCGTTTGGCTGGTGGTACTTTTTGACCCTCTATGCTATTATAGTTTTCAAGATGGCGGAACGGACATGGAAGCCTCCGTGAACCTACCCGTCCCATGTACATAAAGATAATAAATTCTTCATTTACGAGGATAAGTCAGATAATTTGCAGAGGTATTTGTACACCATTGAGGACATATTTATGAATAAAAATATTGATTTCAGATAATAAAATACAGGGCTCCAGACTAACTTTTTTTACTAGGAGCGCTGTTGCCCCTGACTGAAAATTTTAGGAGCGCAAACAGAAAATTTAGGGGCACACCTTAAATCAGCTTGCAATGCAATTATTCAAATTTCCCCCAAAATAACTGTAATACTGACAAATTCTTTAATAATAAATAGACTTAACATTATGATATGCTGTTTTATTTTAAGTTCACAGGGCTCCAGACTCAAATTTGAGGGCAGCACCACCTCAAATGAGAACTCACACCAAGTTATACAAAAAACAAAACAAAACAAACAAACAAACAAAAAAAACTGGTAGCACTGGGGCTGACAATAAATCACTTAGATTAATTTAGGGTGTAGATGAAGTTAACTTTAGTTATCACTTATAATGTCTTAATATTAATTAAAAACAAAAGGAAAGAAAACATGTATGTATAAGGACTTGGAGTGAAAATAGCCAATAAACATCCTACGGTTTACAATTTTTTTTTTTAATTTTTAATAATAATAATAATAAAAAAAAATTAATGTTTAAATAAGAGTTTTCCAACATCTTAAAATTTTTCGTTTTAGGACAATCTTTGAAGGATGAACAAAAAAATGTGTTGATCACAAAAAAAAAAAAAAAAAAAAAAAAAAACATTTAACTTTATATGATATTATAGTTTTGAAGAGCAGGACAAAGATGTGTTGTAAGTGTTTGACTACCGTATTTCTGTCACATCATATTTATGGTTAGAGTTAACTTACTATTTGACATGCTGATAAGTTGCTGATTTGTGGACTGAAAGCCTTCTGTAAGAGTTTCTCCTGGTTTCCACGTCAGCGCTGTTTGATCTGATATGGTTTATCACAGAACTCTGCGCCGAATCGGAGTGTTTCTCACTGGATCTCGTAGCGATGATGTTATTAATTCTGAGGCGAATTCAATGGATTTCTTCACTGGATCTGCTAGTAACAGTGTCGCGTGATCGAGATCGGCCAGCGACTGGCAAGTTCGGGGCTTTATTAGCCTACTGTCGGTGGTTCGGGGGGCTCCACTATGCGCTGCTCTGTCTATTATTGGTCCAACCTAATAAAAACGCCAACGGTCCGTGAAGCATAGCCTATATGAGTTGCGTATTTTAGTTCCACTTTCATTTTGTTTGTATTCGCTGCTAGGTAACGTGTCGATAGATCGCTTATTGCTCAGACGCACATCAGGTTGTGATATTTGTCTCCGTCTCACTCCGTCTCTCATGTTCCCACAGACGTTTATTCGCGCTATTCTTGTCACGGATTCATTGACGCGCCCATTCGACGCTTACCATGCGTTTAACGTGTGGCAAATTTACCGGTCGCACATGTGCGACTGGATGTAAAATTCAGTCGCACACTCTCAAATTTTGGTCGCAAAATGCGACTATTTGGTCGCAGTCTGGAGCCCTGAAATACCTAAAAATCTACACAGAGTCCCTTTAAATGAGGCCTTCTTCAGAAATGTTGACATTTTGCAGCTTTCCTCTGTTGAAGAGGAATTATTTGTGTTGCTGCTGAAATCACAGAACAGTTTTTATCAATATTTGTTAACCGTTGAGCAAGTTTCAGCAATTTTTAAGCA